ATTACAACCACCCAAATCGAAATCGAAATCGAAACGTTGAGAATTTGTTCAGATCCATTACGGAACAAATAAGGAGTCGAGACCCAGAAACGAGAATATTCAATAGCACTGATCCTTGAACTCGTAGAAATCATTTGGCGAACGTGTGAGATCGCTGTCCCGTTAGACGAAGAACAGACGGACAGACAGAGAAAAAACCATCACAAAGGGTAATTTTTTTTTTTCGAAAACTTCCCCTAAAAGGGCTGCCGACTTAACAAAAAAAAGATTACTTTGAAAATTAACGGTGTTTAAGAAGATATTGAATGTGCCAAAAATTTGAGACATTAGATTTTCAAAAACGTTGCTCTCATCTTAAAAATATCGATCTCTTCGCTTAATTATGCTACAACGCATGGCGCTGCGTTCTCCCAAACCCGCCTCATAAACGGCCAACTAGCTCAGGGTTAAACACAAAATAAGAGCTTGAGAAACTTGCACAGCGGTAATTCGTTCTGGGTAAAATAATCTTCGGACTCTTCGTTGCATTTACCAAGGAGCGCAACTCAATTTCTGGTCTACCTCTCCCCGTATGAAATTGAGAAGATACGAGAGGATTAAAAAGAGTACAAGTCATTTTAAGTTCAAATATTCCGAAAATTTTAAGTTACATTACACATACAAAGCTTAATAACTTGAATGGACAACTTGAATCGTATTCCAATTTAACAAAGCTCTAATCAAGAATGTTCGATTCTATATATCGACTATTTGACTTCAGAACAAGTCTCCACAAATAAATTAAATTCGGGCAACAATTCCACAAATACAAGAAAACATAAAAAAAGGCAACGCTTGCCTTGCTGTAAATTGATTCCATCCAGAGATGTGAGCTCAGATCTCGGATTTTCCCATAAATCTGAAAACAAAAGAAAACTCCCAAGTCGCAGAGCTCGGAATACCCTGAAATGACGATAGCAGAAGGACCTCGCTTACTTGTTGTATGCACGATTACAAGTACGATCATTAAACGCCCATCCCACTTCAGAAAGGTGACATTAAAATGGATGTTTTATTCCCACGAGTAAACTACCAGAAAGAAAGAACTTTGGAGTCCTCGCATTTAAAAAAAGGGCAGGGTTAAGTATAAATAAATGTGCCACATTCAACAAAATAAACGGGGAACAATAATAATGCTTCTAATGAGGAAAATAAACCGTTCCAATGCCTCTAGAAAAATCTTTATCACGCAAAGAAATATCTCCTGAAACTAAATGAACCACCGTTGAGCGTCAAAATGTAACAGGGCATCACCGGGTTGCAAATAAATACGAATTTCTTGAAAATTTACTGAAATTGCTCAATCAAAAAATGGACTGCTTCTACAACTTTCCGTATTCAAAATCAAATTTAATGTTAAATTTAAAGAGGCAAGTATAGGTATTAAAACTACTTTTTTTTCTTTTAGATGACACTGATTTCCTTCTCCTAACCTAACATCTAGATTTTAAAAGCATTGAGGGTGATTAAGATCCCTCTTTTACAAATTCCTTTGAACCTAGTGAAAGTATATATTTTTTCAACTCAGTTAGAAACTTCAATAATTAAGTTTACTTTCAAACGAAAAACGAAACTTGGTTTTTCTAACTGAGTTAATACACAAAATTACATACATTTATTACCTAATATATGATATGATATGATATCATAGAAATTATCTTTTGAGAAATCCCCAATTCTCTGTCAAAGGCTCGGTTAACTGGATATAAATCAAATATTTACCTTAAGGTTAACTTAGTAGCACACCTATATACAAACAACAGATTGCTAACCTTAAGGTATCATTCCGATCTTGACAGTCGAAGTTCGTTAAGTATACAGTGACTTTATACTGACGGTGTGCCCATGAGCGCGACGGCCGCAATGTTTCCTCCACAAATATAGTAGGATACGCTTAACATATACAGAGACTTAACTCCCATTGGTTACATTAAAATGTATCTATGATTCTGCCACAGCTTACTTACTATTTAAGCTGTTTCTGCTACATGTAATTGGTTATTGTATGTTTAGAAGTGCATTTATTAGACGAATAATAGAAATTTGTGTTAAAATACCGAAATTGGATAGATTAAGATGTAGGTACTCCTTGTTCGAACATGTGTGGGTTATAGTAGCCGGCTTAGACAGAGTAGAGTTCAGTTAGTTGTTACATTTTTGACTGTCAGATTGTGTTCATTCAAATAGAGATTCTCCTTCTTACATTAAAACATTAGGGCATTGGCGTTCTGGCACTGTATGTTGGTATAAAGTCACTAGATATAGAAAGTACCGCAATCATCCACCATTTTTGGGCAAATTTGCTGCCAACTTAAAAAAATTGACAAATAAAATCTGAATAGCTGTCATTTTTATTAACCTAACTTTCATAACTGTACTGTCATGGTTTTTATAAAAATATTATAAGATATCTCCAAAACAGGTGGAACAATCCCTAACATTAAAGTTTACTAGAATCTGGTAACTTCCGCCATTTGTTGTCGGAGAAAATCATGCGTTCTCTCTCTAACACACGAGCCCAATGGATTGCGGTACTTTCTATATTTAGTGACTTTATGTTGGTATACTTAAATCCGCCCCCTATTGAGCAGCAGTATAAATATGTATCTTTCGAAACAGTCAAATTATGCTTATGTATTTCTACAATAGATGCCGCTGCAAAAAATTTATAGCTTACAACGAATGAGTAACTCCACTGTTCAATTTAAACAATACTGGCTCAGCGTACCTCCCATCATATCATATCACTGTAGAAATACCAATAATAATAAGGAACCCGAATTGTGCAAACTTCAGCATTTTTTGCAGCGACATCTATTGCATAAACGTTTGCGGTTTTTTTTCGGAAGCCAATTTCGTTAACTATTTATTCTCGCGAATGGCTTTTCTATTACATTGCAAGATTTAATTCCCTCTTTGAGTGGAAGTTAATCAGTTTAATCTGCACGTTCAACTTTCACTTCAATTGCACAGAAAAATCGCATATATCGCGCCGTTTTCTGTTTTAAAGCTCTACGTTTAACTTTGATTTGTTCTCTCTCGTCCTTCTCCGCAATTTCCACCCAGCCAAAATCTAAAATGTTTCACACAAAATCTTGGGTTGCTTACTAAAACTTTCTACTGTTTTACATGCGATTAATCTGGTTTTCGCCCAATTGTCCTACGCCCTCACACGCGACTTTTTGGACGCCTCATCTCGTAACGGTCGAAAACTATTATGTTTAACCACGCAGTTGATGCTCCCGTGGTCCACAACCGAATGTTCTACTGTGTGTATCTGTTTAGTCCTTACTCTTCTTTTACAAATATAGTCCGCCCTCAAAATGGTGCTAAATTAGCTAATCTAAATCATTTTTCTTAACTAATGGTCGTTTTTGGTTGTGAGAATGGCCAATTCCAAGATGGTATCTACTACAATCGATACCGCCTGCATTGTGATCGAAAGTCTACAGATGGAGCAAATCTATCGACCAAAAAAAACTATGTAGATATTTGGTAGAACGTAGAAGAGGACCACTTCAATTTTATAATTTGTTCCGCCAGATGTAACATTAAATACGCCAAAGAAGCGACTATTATTTGGAAAGAATCATTTTTTACCTTTTTGTTTTTTTGACGTCATTTCCATCATCTTTCAATCAAAATTGGAAACTAAGAGTGAATTGGGACTGGAACATGTAGGTATTGAAAATTGAATTGACCATTATCGCAAGCAATCCACCCTACGCTCCATATTTAGAACCTTTTTTTGCTCACATCTAAAAATACATCAGGAGGCGAAAATTTGCCTCAGGTGTTGACCTGAAAAAAAAGCGCGCCGTTTTTCGATATAATTGATTATGAAGTATTACATAGTATTCGCAAAAAATATGTGCCTTTTTTAGGTAATAACCTAGTAACACAAAACACACAAAACGTACATCTCTAATAAGAGCCTTCCCTTACAAAACTTCCAATTCCGTGTAACTACGGTTAATTATTTCAGGTCTGCTATTACCGTCTTTCCTCAACGTACGGATGGAAAGCACGATTACAGAATATGGAACCCCCAACTAATTAGCTACGCCGGTTACAAAAAACCTGACGGAACTATCATCGGTGACCCACAGAACGTCGAGTTCACTGACGTCTGCATAAAATTGGGATGGAGAGGACACGGCACCATGTTCGATATTCTCCCGCTGGTGTTGTCTGCCAACGGTCACGATCCCGATTATTTCGATATACCGAGCGAGCTTATATTGGAAGTACCATTAAAGCATCCCTCGTAAGTATAAAGCTTTGAAGCGAGTTTGTATTACACTTGGAGACACGCAGATTTAATATAAGGAATTTGCAGATTTGAGTGGTTCGAGAAGCTCGGATTGAAATGGTACTCGCTTCCAGCGGTATCGAACATGATGTTCGACTGTGGTGGTCTACAATTTACTGGTGCCGGATTTAACGGGTGGTACATGAGTACCGAAATTGGGTGTCGAAATCTCTGTGATACATACCGTTTTAATATGTTAGAGGTAACGATGGAAAGTGGCGGTAGAAAACGTGTTTGACACTTTTAAATTTTGCAGACTGTAGCATTAGCGATGGGCTTAGAAACTCACACTAGCGTCACACTGTGGAAAGATAAGGCGATGGTCGAGTGCAATCTAGCCGTTTTGTACAGTTTTCAATTAAAGGGAGTGACCATTGTTGACCATCACACGGCATCGGAGTCATTCATGAAGCATCTTGAAAATGAAACGCGACTACGTAACGGTTGTCCTTCGGATTGGGTTTGGATAGTACCGCCGATGTCGGGTTCTGCTACTCCGGTGTTTCATCAAGAGATGGCTTTGTACCATCTGAAACCATCCTATGAATATCAGGTAATTTATTTTTATACGTTTTATGTGGGGCTATAATCCCATTGGGTACAAAGGGGTTCAATTTGTAGATGCTCTTTGATGTAGGTAGGTATTGCGTAACATATTTTGAGTTAGTCGAGTTGTTTCGCACATCTCCCAGGACGGAAAAATTTTTCCGTACCTACACGCTCGTACTTTTATTGTATGTTTACTGTACATGGTTTGAAATGTAACTCCATCTGCTGAGCTGAGTTGAATGGGATGTATCTACCATATGAACATTAAATTAGGAGATTTTATAATTACACTGTACACACAACAACAGCAATCTGTCTAGAATGTTCTCGTGTTTTATCGCCGATGACTAATCTCTCTTGGCACCTCGATGTCTATCGGGATTTCTAGAATATTCGCTAAAAAAATGTCTCGGAACATAGACGACGGTTGTAGAGGAGACATTCCCAGCTTGTTCTATAGCGCCCAAACCGGAACTGAAGCTATACGGCTATACCACGGGACATCTTAACATCAGCTCCGGAATATAGTGCCATCTGTGTATAAACTACATATTTGGTGGATTCTTAAGTGATGCGACTTGGGATGTCAATCTCCTAGGCATAACTTAGCCAGGTCGATGCGTGCCCCTTCCCATCGACCCGTTCTAGCTTTCTTGTTTATCGGTCACTGTACCGTCGAGACAATTCTTTCTGATGTGTCCGTTTTTACCACAACCAAAGCATCGCATTGTCACATCGATGTCCATCGGTATTTCTAAAATATTTACTTCCATACAATCGCAATCATCCTCATCATCATGGGGATGATTTTCATTAACTGTTTTTTACGATTCTAAATTATTGAAGGTTTTTGGCTATTTGGGCATTTAAAGTAGCACAAACAACTTCGGTTTAATATGGCGCTAATTATAATTAACGCCAAACACTAAAGGAGGATGGTCTTTGCTAACACTCACTAAAGACAGCAGTGACTGAACACATGATGAAACATCAAATAAAAGTATAAACAATTTTTAATATCGAGGGTGCAATTTATTAACCGAAACGAAGTTACTTCAACCTGTGATTAAAATGCAACACGTTAGAATATTGATAACTGGTAAAGTCCTTGGATACCTTCATAAAAAATCCTGGACAGTTACTAAACTAGCTAAGAGTAAGTGAGTTCAGCGAAGAGAAAACGTATCGCGACATGAAGTCGGCAATTCTTTCTTTCACAAATAAAATATGAAACCCCAATCCACGGTCCGGAAGTATATAAGTAAAAGGGATAAGTATAATTTCACAATAAAACGCATTCGAGCAAATGTCTAAAAATTAGTCAACACTGATGTCTACTGTCATGTACAGAATTTCTGAAACTTGCGTACGAAAAGAGAATGTAGACACAAGAGTAAGGTCCTGACAGATATTGTTTTGTGATCTTACAAAGACCACCTTCATAAAATTGGATTATCCTTTGTTATTCCTCAATTTGCCATAACACAAAACCTCAGATTACTTCACTTTTTATGTACAAGAGTCTTTTAGGGTTCCGTGCGGCACACGGTGATTCCGTTTCATTTTTCATCTTTGTGGAAAGTAATAATGAGATTATGTTGGTAGTGTTGAAAATTTGTTCATTTTTGAGTTGCCATATTAGTATTTACGTTGTTGCATTAAAAGTTATTAACTCGGGAATTATGTAAATGAAGCGCGAAGGTTTTTGATTAATTGAGGAATAAATAGATGTAATTTTCCAGAGCTTTTATTGGATGTGTATTAGGTACAGGGGGTGATCCTAAGTCAAATTACATCCTTATTGCGAAAGGTTCGCACGTAAAGTGCGTGCATTCCTTACATTGCTTTGATAAAAGTAACTATTGTAGACATTTGTCGGTTCGTCCACCTATTTCTCAAACTATTTTTATTGGAGAAAGCTTTTGGCGGTTCTCGCCGCGTTAGGCATTGGGCTATTGAACGTCTTAATCGGTTTGTGCTTCTAGTTATCTACGTCTTTTTGGGAAAATTGCTATTACAGTTTAAGCAAAACGTTCCCTATTGTAATGCATCTTGACTGTTTGGTGGACCTGTAACGAGCAGACAAATAAACCGACACTCACGCCGGACTAAATAAATTAAGCATTGGTCACGATATCCAAAAAAATATGGAAGACAGAGTATTTTTCAGATGTATTATGATATACGTTTATTGCCGCCTAAATAAGCAGCGTTTCAGACACTAGAAATGTTTTTGAAAAAATTGCTGTGGCTAGGACAGATTCCACCCGCACACCTGCGCATGAGCGATTTTGCCCTTTTATGTCTAAGAATAAGTGTACCAAATTTGGTTCCAATCGGTTCAGCCCTTTAGCTAGTAATCAGAGTACAGGCATTTTGTTTAATTCGGATTCCTGGTGTATTTCCGTCAAAAAAGTGAGAGGGGGGGATATTTTTCACCCTAATGCAATACCCGCCCCCGTCCTTACTAACTTGCGGGTGGTAAAAACTTAAACCCACTCACCATCATCCTGCCCAAAAACGGTCGGTCACAATTGCCTGGTCCATCGTGCTGTAACCGTCTTCAATAAGAATAACCATCCGAACAAACTACAGGACGTCACCCACACACTAATTTTCATAGAAGCGAAATCCGCAAGGTTATAAAACATCAAACCCCAAACCTGGGGCCCCTTTCTGCGTTTTGGAAATCCGATTGGATGATGCGTCACTTTCGCCAATTTCTTCTGAAGGAATGGATAGGTTTAAATAGCCAGGTTTAGCCATCTACTCTTCAGTGTTCCAACGAATGCAGTATAGGGCAGTAGTGAGCGTTGCTCTCCTTCACGCATTGTTAAGAGTTTAATTTTTATTTTGACTATTTTTACATCTTGTCCTGATGATGACGAAAATGGGCGAAACGTTGACTTTTTGTTCAACATTGACACGGTCATATCGCGGAAGTCGCTCGCATCTATCTCTTCTAAAGTTTAACGGTTTTCCAAACCCCGTCACAAAGTTTCCAAGTTGAGTGCACCCTTACTTCATTGTCTTGTCGCCGTTAGCACAAGTTAATTCCTTCCTTTCTTAAAATCAAGTTTCACTTGCAAACCAGGTCTTCGCAATCCATTCTTCAGCGTCCAACAAACAAGGAAAGAAGTCAGATTCTTGGTCCAAAGAACTTCTATTTTTTCATTTAGAAGTCTCTAACACCCTATCCCCATTGGTCCAATTTCGATAGAATTTCTTTTGAGCAATCGCAGGAAAATTTGGAATTAACTAACTACCCAAACCCCTCAAGAAGTTCTAAAATCTTCAGTGGTAGAACCTTTAACCGTCTACAACAAAGCCCAAAGAAACCATCGTCAACTTGTCCTCTCACACTCTCAGTAAGCATTCAATACTTTCAATGCTAGCTGTAGCTCCCATTAAGGTTTCCAAGGAAGACTCAATCCACACTCTATCCCAGACAGATTGCCGATCCCATTCGTCTAATAATAATAATAATAATAATAATAATATTTAATTGCCCAACAGAACAAAAATTATTCCAATTATAGGACAATATTGTGTAATACTACAGACGGCACATCAAAATAACATAAATTAAGCTACCAATACATATATATATATAGAAATTGATTCAAAACCCATTAAAAATCAACAATCATATTTAATGCAATTATAAGTAAGAGTATCTAATGCAAAATAAATGGATCAATGCAACTTAGTAAGTTGTTTAAAGCAGAACTGAAAATATCCTTATTTCCGCAAAATTTATTATATATTCTAGAAGAATTAAAAATCGGCGACATAAATAACACGTTAGTTCTTGGTAGTGGGAGATGAAATGGTAAACTATTGCGAGAATGGTAAGGCGGTACAAAAAAGTTAATTTGGTACAGTAAGTCAGGAGCATCAGTCCTGTGATGCAGGATGTTAAATAGAAATGCTATGTTACATTTTAACCTTCTAGCCTCTAAACTAGCGACATGAAACTGGTTTAACAATGCAATATGGGAGTATCCTCTAGGAGGGTAGACGTAACTCACTTTATAATAAAGAAATTTGAGGAATTTCCTTTGAATAGATTCAAGGGAATGTCTATGTTTCTTAGTTGTAGGGTACCAAATTGGTGAACAATATTCAAGCTTACTTCTAACTAGAGCAAAGAACAATGATTTAAGCGCTACAACGTTTTGGAGTAGTTTACAGTTCCTAAATATAAAACCAAGCGCAGACATTGATGAGCGAGATACTGCAGTAACATGATGTGAAAACGAAAACTTACTGTCAAAGTAAACACCGAGATCTTTCACCACATCAGTTCTTAGTAGTTGAGAGGAATCAAGCATATAACCATAAGCAATCGGCGAATGTTTTTTTGTATAGCTAACTATTTTACATTTAGCACTATTCAGTAGCAAAGAATTAGTCAAACTCCATTGCACAAGACTATTTATCTGTTGTTGCAAAAAGTCACAGTCACTAGTAGACGACACTTGCGTGAATAGTTTTAAATCATCTGCGTATAACAGTGCACCACACTTCAGTATATCAGTTAAGTCATTTATATACAAAATAAACAAAAGTGGCCCCAAAATTGAACCCTGAGGCACACCAGAAGTAACCATCACAAAATCAGAAGAAAAATTGTTATATAAAACACGCTGAAATCTATTGCTTAAATAAGACTTGAAAAGCATTTGTAGATTATAGTTGAAGCCAAAGTTGTGGATCTTCGCAATAATGATGTCATGCGGAATGGTATCAAAGGCTTTACTAAAATCTGTATAAACGACATCAACTTGACCGCGTTTGTCGATATTCTCAGATATAATGTGCGATAGGCACGCTAGGTTGGTAGTTGTGGATCTGTTTTCCATAAATCCATGCTGGTGGATTGATATATGTCTTCTTACATTCGGATATATCCTAGCATATAGAACGATTTCATAAATTTTTGCGAAGTTGTTTAAAATGCTCACAGGTCGATAATTTTTGACATCTCTAGAGTCACCGTGTTTTAAAACAGGCGTAATATTAGCACTTTTCCACCTATATCAGGAAACACATTTGTTGCTAATGAAAGATTAATGATACGTGTTAAAGGTACAGCCAACACAGCAGAACAGTCTTTAATAAGAAACGCAGGGATCATGTCAGGTCCAGAAGTACGACCACTTTTCAACTTTTCTATAGCAGAGCACACTTCATCAA